ATTGAATTCAATATGATAATGCAAATTGAAAAAAAAATTGACAAAAAAAGAATAACAAATTGTAAAAATATTCAACGTGTTAGCCGATTTTTTACAGCAAATGTTTAAAGGTCCTTACAAAGTTTGTCAATAGAATGTACTATTATTTTAAAAATCGATTCCATTGAAAAAAAATTTTTTTTTTCGATTTTTTCCCGATTTCAGAATTTGTGCAATGAGATCTCTTTTTCGTGAGTTCTTGGCGATTTTGAAAAAGTAATTATCTTTTAACTTTGGTGTGACCGCGTTTAATTATTTCGATATCCTCTATTCCGTTTCGCCACCGCATAATTCGGTACTACACTTCCATGTAACCCGCCATCAATTTCAGTTCTCAAGAAATCAAGTCAATTAAATAAATTGGTATTAATATTCGAATTCAAAAATAAAATATAAAAAACGCTACAAATGTACATTAGAAAAAAGTAAGTCAAAATGGAAAAAAATCATGCAAAATAAAACATTACTATTGTACAATTCAAAAGTCAAAATGAAAATGTTAATATATCATATTTTTACGCGATTTTTTTGGATATTATCCTTTTCGGAAAAGAGACAATTCCGAATTTGTTTGAATCGTTAAAATCTGTCCAGCGGTTCTTAAGTTATAAGCGTAGTAACTAACACAACTTCCTTTTATATATATAGATTTTTGTACGAAACTGTTTTTTTTAATTTTTTTTTTTTGAATGTCATACTTTGCCCGAATGTTGCTCAGCGGTGTTTTTTGGTCCATTCGCGGTGAAGCGCTTGTTTGAGGTGATCGATACTTTGGTATTTTTTGGTGCCAACCTTGCTTTTCAAAATATTCCATACACAATAGTTGGTATCCGGAGACACCCTCCGCGATAATTTCGGCATTTATTCCACGGTCGATTAATATGAGCGGAGAGCGACCATCGGCTGTTATGGCGGCCCACACCATCACCATGGACGGCGCTTGAGTTCTGGTGGTCAACCGAAGGTGCACATTTTCAGCTGACCTCTTTGGCAAGTAAACACGATCAGTTTGTTTGTTTACAAACTGCTGGACGACAACGAATGTTTTCTCATCGGAGAAAACCAAATTCGGCAGGTCACCACTTTCGGCCAAGCGAAGCAACACTTTAGCTCTTTTGAGTCTATTTTCTTTCGGTTGCGGTGTAAGTTCTTGCACTTTTTGGAATTTCAAAGGCTTTACCCCGAGCTCATTTTTCAATATTTACCGAATGGAATATTGGGATTTGTTCAGCTCACGATCCATTTTTCGGCCACTGCGACTTGGGTTTCGATCAAGTCGCTTCTTTACTTTTCGAACCATTTCTGCTGATGTTGCGATTTTCTTCCGTCTACTTCCTTGACGTCGGGCTACGCTACCAGTATCAGGGTAACGAGCGATGGTACGAGACACAAAAGATTTATTCACATTTAAATGCTGGAGTGCTCTAACGATAGCCACTTGTGGTTTTCCAGCCAAATATAAAGAAATCACACTATCACGCTTGAATTCGAATTCGAACGAATACCTTTTTTTTGGAAAATTTTCACCAAAATGCTTTTGTACGCTAGTAAAAAATATTATGAGCTGTCACTGGAATAATTTTAACAGCTGTCGGACGAGTGGCTTAGAAATGACCGTAGTCTGAAGTTGGTTGCAGTTTTTTCATCTTACCCTGTATACAAAAGGACTTTTGGAAATTCGAAATTTAAAGTTACGAAAAGTTCTAAAATGCTACCATTTGGTGTTATGTGAACGGATAGAACCGGGGTACAATAAGAACGTAGAACTACAGAAATGAATCCCTAAGGCTATATGCGCTCCCTGTCAGAATTATTCAAAATTATTTGCAACAAATTGTTTTAATTATTTTTTGATATTTTTCCTAAATTTTAAAAAGAGTTGAATAGCAAAACTGGTTAATAGCTTTAGTGGTACTAAATTTGGTATTGGGTGAAAAAAATATTTTTTTTATCAATAATAGGCAATCTTGTATTATTCACCACGCTTGTCGATTGTAAAATTTAAAATATTTTCTTAAAAAATCTTTTTTTTTAATTGCACTCGAATTTTGGTCAAAGAAATGCAAAATTTTATTTTTATTTCTTCTTCTCAAAAAAAAAAAAAAAATACGAAAGCAATGCACATTAAGTCTTTGTTAATAACAAATAAAAAACCAGTTACCTTTGTTGCCACTGAACCCTCAGGTGAATTATTCAATTGACATCAAAACAAGAATTTCGTGCAAATATTTGAAATTGTTGGACTCAAAGAACAGCGTTAACTGTGTGTGAATTACACGCCTATATTTCAATTATGCCAAAGAGGTTATAAAAGTGTAGCTGAAAATATGAGACACGTATGGTGGCGCTTACATCGGAAGGTAACCAAAATAGGACCCATTTTTACATCTTTACAAATATTCGAGTTAAGATTCCTGTGAATCAATGATTTCAAACAACATATGGTATGTTCCAGAACTGCAAGAATGTAAAAGTTTATACTATGATAACCGATTTTCCATTTATGATATCGAAAAAAATGCGAAACTAGTAGATTTGACAGGTTCTTGAGGTGGCTGGTGATTTGATAGTGACTGGTGTGCACGATAACTCTCGAAGGGAGTATCCGATTTGCATCAATGCTACGTCAGGTGCGAAAATGGACAATATCGGTCCACTCCATCAAGTACCTTTGCCCTTTGTGGGGGAAGTACCAGATGGAGTGGACCGATATTGTCCATTTTCGCACCAGATCTAGGGTTAGTAAAATATTGTAATGTGTGTAATTTAAAGAGAACCGGATGCTTATTTCGGATTTTATAATCGTTTTGGTTATTACAAACATTGAGGTACCAGAAGGAGTGGATCGATATTGTCCATCTCCGAACTCGATCTAAGTTTGATAATATTACGATTTACCACGTTCGGATCAAATCTGATACTCCCAGCCAGACGGACGAACTGACATCGCTAGATCGACTCCAAATGTCCTCAAACGGATCTAATTTTATATATGTCCGTATCAAATTATATATACCCTCTCTAGCCATATTGCTGAGGGTATAAAAATCAAACATTGGCTGACATATTACGGCCAAACAGATTGATAGTTCTTAACTTGTTTATTGGGTGAGATGAAAAAACTGCAACCAAATTCAGATTGCTATCATTTCTAAGCCACTCGTTCGACAGCTGTTAAAATTATTCCAGTGACAGCTCATTACATTGTTTACAAGCGTACAAAAGCATTTTGGTGAGAATTTCCCAGCAAAAAAATTATTTTTGATGGAATGCAAGCGTGATAGTGTGATTTCTTTATATTTGGCTGGAAAACCACAAGTGGCTATCGTTAGAGCACTCCAGCATTTAAATGTGACTAAATCTTTTGGGTCTCGTACTATCGCTCGTTACCGTGATGCTTGTAACGTAGCCCGACATCAAGGAAATGGACGGAAGGAAACAGCAACTTCAGCAGAAATGATTCAAAACATAAAGAAGCCACTTGATCGATACCCGCGTCGCAGTGGCAGAAAAATGGCTCGGGAACTGAATATGTCACAATATTTTATTCGGCAAATGTTGAAAAATGAGCTCGGAGCAAAGCCATTGAAATTCCAAAAAGTGCAAGAACTTACATCGCAACAGTAACAAAATAGACTCAAAAGAGCTAAAGAATTGCTTCGCTTGGCCGAAAGTGATGAACTGCCGAATTTGGTTTTCTCCGATGAGAAAACGAGAACATTCGTTGTTCAGCAGAAGTTGTAAACAAACAAAATGATCGTGTTTACATGCCACCAGAACTCAAGCGCCGGCCATGGTGATGGTGTGGGCCGCCATAACAGCCGATGGTCGCTCTCCGCTCGTATTAATCAACTGTGACATCAGAATAAATGCCGAATATTATCGCGAAAATATACTTTGGAGGGCGTATTAAAGCCTTGGGCACGCAAACATTTTTGCCACAGACCTTGGGCATTCCAACAGGACTCAGCACGCCACTCAAGAATGGTTACAAGAAGAGGTTCCTGGCTTAATTTCCAGCGCACAATGACCACCAAAATCTCCGGATACCAAACCGTTGAACTATTGTGTCTGGAGTATTTTGGAAAGCAAGTTTGGCACTAAAAAATACCAAAGTGTCGATCATCTCAAGCAAGCGCTTCGCCGGGAATGGGCCAAAATACCGCAGAGCAACATTCTGGCAGCGTGTGACGATTTCATTGGCCGTTTGAAGGCCATAATACGTGCCAAAGGTGACCAATTCGAACAAATCTAAACATCTTCTAAAATTTGATGTCATTTCCGACCTTTTTTTTTTCATTAAAAAAAAAAATTAAAAAATGTAAAAATTATGGCGTTTGACTTTGTTGCAGTTTTTTTTTATCTCACCCTGTATACCCTCTTAAACATCTGTTTATTGCTGATTGTAGGTATGTCCGGATACCCTTAAACAGTAGTCGGATGGCGTGTATTTGGCCCCTTTAGTTGAGTCATGATTGGCCGGGAATGGGCTAAAATACCGCAGAGCAACGTTCGGGCAGCGTGTGACGGTTTCATTGACCGTTTGAAGGCCATAATTCGTGCCAAAGGTGACCAATTCGAACAAATCTAAACTTATTCTAAAATTTGATGATATTTCCGACATTTTTTTCTTTCATTTAATAAAATTTAAAAAAAAGAAATGTAAAAATTATGGCTTTTGACTTTGTTGCAGTTTTTTTATCTCACTCTGTATATATCATTTATGTAAAATTTTAATTTCTAACCACGTAACATATTTCTTCTGATCCCGTTGCAATTTGAAACATGTGTTCCAATTCTAAATTGCCACCAACAAATGCACTTCCCTGCAAAACGGGAGATAAACTTTTGTGACACTTCTAAATAGAGACACGAAGCACCGTGACATAAGATTGAGATAATTATTCTTAATTCAAAAAAAAAAACATAAATAATAATAAAAATGACAATTATATAATTACCACACAAATATGCCGCCGTTGCCAATGCGCTCCAGTTCATTGGTGATGATATCTTTGTAGGTATCTTCACTTATGACGACTTTTGATTTTTCACCTTGATCCTGAGTCATTTTGAACGGCAGACGATGTTCGCTCGCTCCACTTCACTTCTATTGTTGTTGGCAGTCAATGCAGCAGCAGCAGCAACGGCCGCACTTTGGATTTTTCCACGAAATAATTGCGTGGATTGGAACTGACACCACCTCCAACTACCTCTGGGGATGGGATAAGTAGTGATTCCTCAATTTATTTGTTGTTCGCCAAGACGACACGCAATAACAACAACAAGTGGGACACACACGCAATTTTCTTTTGTACTAAGAGTTCTATTGTATTGGCGACAATGTGATATAGTCGCGATCGTTTGTTAGTTAGTCAGTCAGTAAGACAAGTGGTCGGTGCGATTTACTTAAGACACAAAATAATGTTGCGGATCACAAAATAAGCAAAGACGATGGGGGTTAGCCGTTAAATTAATGGACTTTCACTAGATTGCTGAGTCTGTCGGTTCGCTGGCATTTAGGGTTGTGTGTCATTCAAGAACACAGAATAAAGTATTTCAAATTAGAATTTAAAATTCCGTTCAACAATTATTTATGTCTACTTTGTATCGCAGGGCACTTTCACTTTTTCTTTCTTTCCGTTTTTTTTTTTCGTTTTCACAGCCACTGATTTTCTTTTCTATTCCAGAGGAGTGGAGCCTGCCAATTTTGAAATCCCTTCACGTTTTTTTGTAATTTTCACTTCACCCATACACTTGAGAATTTTTATTTGATTCTCCTTTTTGTCTAGGCTATTCTTTTCTTCCAACAATTACTTCACATAACTTTCCCTGTTCGTTTTAGTTTTTTTTCGTTCGTTCCTTTTGGAAGTTACGTCTATGAAGGCAACACAACAAACTTAAATCCCGGCTTCCAGACGTGACAAACAACCGACCACGCCGAATGTGTTTAGCTTACTAAAGACTCTAAGCCTAGATCACTTCATAAATAAACGACAACGACAAATGCTAAACGCAATTGAGGCTCGACTCAATCTCAGTACTGGTCATTATGATGTTTGAACAGCAGCAGTACATTGTTGTGCGAGGAATGAACGAACTCAGGCCGATCCAAAGCAAGTACTGCAAGCACTAGCACAATGAACAGTGCGTACAGGAAGTTTACGCACACGTCAGGTACAATGCTCCTATAGAAAATTCCCCGGCTCCCCGATGGGGACCTAAAAATTTCCTATTGAAAATTCCTAGGCTCCCTGATGGGGACCTAAAAATTTTCTATAGAAAATTTCTAGGCTCCCTGATGGGTATTTAAAAATTTTCTATAGAAACTTCCTAGGCTCCCTGATGGGGACCTAAAAATTTTCTATAGAAAATTCCTAGGCTCCCTGATGGGGACCTAAAAATTTTCTATAGAAAATTCCTAGGCTCCCTGATGGGGACCTAAAAATTTTCTATAGAAAATTCCTAGGCTCCCTGATGGGGACCTAAAAATTTTCTATAGAAAATTCCTAGGCTCCCTGATGGGGACCTAAAAATTTTCTATAGAAAATTCCTAGGCTCCCTGATGAGGACCTAAAAATTTTCTATAGAAAATTCCTAGGCTCCCTGATGGGGACCTAAAAATTTTCTATAGAAAATTCCTAGGCTCCCTGATGGGGACCTAAAAATTTTCTATAGAAAATTCCTAGGCTCCCTGAAGGGGACCTAAAAATTTTCTATAGAAAATTCCTAGGCTCCCTGATGGGGACCTAAAAATTTTCTATAGAAAATTCCTAGGCTCCCTGATGGGGACCTAAAAATTTTCTATAGAAAATTCCTAAAAATTTTCTATAGAAAATTCCTAGGCTCACCGAAAGGGGACCTAAAAATTTTCTATAGAAAATTCCTAGGCTCACCGAAAGGGGACCTAAAAATTTTCTATAGAAAATTCCTAGGCTCCCCGATGGGGACCTAAAAATTTTCTATAGAAAATTCCTAGGCTCCCCGATGGGGACCTAAAAATTTTCTATAGAAAATTCCCAGACGCCCCGATGGGGATCTAAAAATTTTCTATAGAAAATCCTAGGCTCCCTGATGGGGACCTAAAAATATTCTATAGGAAATTCCTTGGCTCCCTGATGGGGACCTAAAAATTAGGCTTCCGGAAAAGCCTAGAAACTGAATTTAACTCGCCCAGAAAGACTCCCTTCAACTCGACCAGAAGGAATGCGTCAAGTCGCCGAGAGAGACTCCCATCAGCTCGCCTATAAAGACTCCCTCCCAGCTCGTCTATAAAGACTCCCTCCCAGCTCGTCTATAAAGACTCCCTCCCAGCTCGTCTATAAAGACTCCCTTCCAGCTCGTCTATAAAGACTCCCTCCCAGCTCGTCTATTAAGACTCCCTCCCAGCTCGTCTATTAAGACTCCCTCCCAGCTCGTCTATTAAGACTCCCTCCCAGCTCGTCTATAAAGACTCCCTCCCATCTCGTCTATAAAGACTCCCTCCCAGCTCGTCTATAAAGACTCCCTCCCAGCTCGTCTATAAAGACTCCCTCCCAGCTCGTCTATAAAGACTCCCTCCCAGCTCGTCTATAAAGACTCCACTCCCTCCCAGCTCGTCTATAAAGACTCCCTCCCAGCTCGTCTATAAAGACTCCCTCCCAGCTCGTCTATAAAGACTCCCTCCCAGCTCGTCTATAAAGACTCCCTCCCAGCTCGTCTATAAAGACTCCCTCCCAGCTCGTCTATAAAGACTCCCTCCAGCTCGTCTATAAAGACTCCCTCCCAGCTCGTCTATAAAGACTCCCTCCCAGCTCGTCTATAAAGACTCCCTCCCAGCTCATCTATAAAGACTCCCTCCCAGCTCGTCTATAAAGACTGCCTCCCAGCTCGTCTATAAAGTCTCCCTTCCACCTCGTCTATAAAGACTCCCTCCCAGCTCGTCTATAAAGACTCCCTCCAGCTCCAGTTCCATGAAAATGTGAAGTTTTCATGGAACAAAAATTGACACCTGTTCATCCATAGAGATTTCCCTTCTTTTGCTCTTTTATATAGATGTCCTTCAGACTAATTTAAATGTTTTAAGGGGTTTCATTATATTTTCCTTAAAATTTAAAGAAAATCTGTTGGTTTGCTTTTTTTATAAGGATTTACTTGACGAACATGCAAGAGAGTTCACGATTTATCTCTCTCTGGCTTTACAAAATCCGATAAAGTAGAAACGCGACATACTTTTTCACCTCACTGTATCAAAAGCCGACTCCAAAGTCTCTCTCTCTCGCTCTCTTGCTATTGAAGTAGAAAGATTTAACATTGTTCGAACAGTTCGATGCTACAAGTGACACAATGTGTTCAAACCAAAATGACTTGCATAGCCAACCGATGTTGACACAACACAACAATAACAAATCACTGATCCTCTCATAGCTACTAATGAGTTAGAGTTAAAATCCAAAGACATGCTAAATAGCTATTGTTTTCCATACGGAGATTATCAATGGGAATATCTTGGATTTTTAAGTGACTTAGAACGCGCTGGCTGATAAGGGAAATGAATGATGTACAGTTCAGAGCAGGCTTACAATGCACACATGTTCACTTGCAGCAAAAGGGGTACTTGGAGGAGAAGGAAAATTATTTAAATTCATCTTTGGATTACAAATGTACAGTTAACATGTGTAAGAATTTAAGGCATATGTTTGTCGAAAAAAACTGACGGAAGGGTTTAATCATTAAATATAAAATTAGATTTGACTAGAAATCCATACGCCCATGACTTTCGACAGCCACTTGTAGGAAAACTAAAGCAATTGTTAGCCGTATTAAAATTATTTCTCATCACTTACAGATTATAATTATGGGAAATCTGATTAGAAAATTCCATTAGAAATAGAAATGATAGGTATTAGAACATGAATAATATTAATGAAAAATTGAAGTGTAGTAATTTATTGGTGGCGCGTTCGTTTGAAATATTTGTTTTAATATTTTCGAGTGTAAAAGTATTAGGGCCTATTTTTGTATGGCAAATACGAAACAAAAATATCATTCAAAATGTGTTCTCAAAATTTGAATGTAACTCAAAACCAAATAAAAAATATGATAAAGTATTTGTAATGGTATTTTTCCTTTTATTCCCTTTAGGATCGTCATACAGAAAGAGACACTTTAACTTGGGCGCCACTCCATAATCTTTCAATTATGACGAGATGATTCCTTAAATTTAGATTCTGCCTACTAACTTGGTCTTAGATTAGTCAATTCTATGGTATTTACACAATGCACCAAAATATTAAACTTTGACCCTATTCTGTTAAGAAGTACCTGTAACCCACTGTAGACCTATTCTGTAAACGTTATCGATTGAAAAGTTCTATTTCTTTTCTTATTGTAGCAAAATAAAAAAAAACAACTAAATTTGTTGTAAAATCAACAATGAGTCAAGTTGATAAAAAAAATAAGTTTAAAAGTATCAATCGGTTATGCAGACAGATATATATCCTCAGCCAATTTACGATTATTTAAATATATTTTGACTTTTGTTACGATTATTCAAAATGTTGACCCCCTACGGAATGGGTTTCAAAGGAATGGGCCAATATTGTCCATTTCGTTCGGAACTAAATAAATATGATACAAATATTGTGACGTGCCAGTTTTGGACTCGATTGCTTTCTTCACTTAATTTGAGATGTGTGAAAATTTTTAGAAAATGTTAAAATACAGGGTGAGGTAGAAAAAAACTGCAACAAAGTCACACGCCATAATTTTTACGTTTTTTTAAATTTTATTGAATGAAAGCAAAAAATGTCAGAAATAGCATCAAATTTTAGAATAAGTTTAAATTTGTTCGAATTGATCACCTTTGGCACGAATTATGGCCTTCAGGCCTTCAAACGGCCAATAAAACCGTCACACGCTGCCCGAATGTTGCTCTGCGGTATTTTGGCCCATTCCCGGCAAAGCGCTTGCTTGAGGTGATCGACACTTTGGAATTGTTTGTGCCAACCTTGCTTTCCATAATACTCCACACACAATAGTCCAACGGATTGGTATCCGGAGATTTTGGTGGCCATTGTGCGCTGGAAATGAAGCGAGGAACCTAATTTTCTAACCATTTTTGGGTGGCGAGTGCTGAGTGCGATGGTGTTAAGTCCTAAGGTCTAAGCGAAAATTTTTGCGTGCCCAAGGCTTTAATACACCCTCCAGAATATTTTCGCGATAATATGACATTTATTCTAAAGCCACGGTCGATTAATAAGAGCGGAGAGCTGTTATGGCGGCCCACACCATCACCATGGCCGGCGCTTGAGTTCTGGTGACCAACCGAAGGTGCATGTAAACACGATTATTTTGTTTGTTTACAAACTGCTGGACAACGAATGTTTTCTCATCGGTGGCCACCAACCAAATTCGGCAGTTCACCACTTTCGGCCAAGCGAAGCAAATCTTTAGCTCTTTTGAGTCCAATTTCTTTCTGTTGCGGTGTAAGTTCTTGCACTTTTTTGAATTTCAATGGCTTTAACCCGAGCTAATTTTTTAACATTTGCCGATTATGTTCAGCTCACGAGCTATTTTTCGGCCACTGAGACGCGGGGTTCGATCAAGTCGCTTCTTAACTTTTCGAACCATTTCTGCTGATGTTGCTGTTTTCTTTCGTCCACTTCCTTGACGTCGATGCTGGCTACGCTACCAGTATCGCGGCAACGAGCGATGGTACGAGACAAAAAAGATTTATTCACATTTAAATGCTGGAGTGCTCTAACGATAGTCACTTGTAATTTTCCAGCCAAATATAAATAAATCACACTATCACGCTTGAATTGAAAAATTTCTATGGTCAAATTTACAAGAAAATCGAACATTTATATCCAATTGTTGATTTGATTGATTTGATTTGCAAGTTATGACAGATATAAGTATTGTAATTTGTTTCCCTTTTGGGTGAGCTACCAGTAGGGGTTCGCAGATATATATCATTTTCACAACAGATCTTCAGTTAGCAAAAATATTTGTAAATGTGAATTTTGAAGAGAAGTGGATGGTTATTTGGATTTTATGATCGTTTTTGGTTATTCAAATTGATGGAAATTTTGAGATGTACCAAGTCTGAATGGAATCGGATATTAATTTCCCCTTTTTTAAGCTTCATAAATATTCAAAATTTTGACCCTTGGTTTGGGAGGTCCTAGAAAAAGTGGACCGATATATTCCATCAACACACCACTCCTTGAGTTAATAAAAATATTTTGATGTGTGCAAGAGAGCCCCAAAGAGAACCTATTTTGGATTTTATGATCGTTTTGGTTATTAAAAACTTTGACCCTTTGTGGGGAAGGTACCAGAAGGAATGGTCCATTCTCTACCATCTTTATTACAGATCTTGTGTTGATAGAAATATTGAGATGAGCCAAGTCGGAATGGAATCGGATAATAATTTCGCGTTTTATGAGGTATACAAAATGTTGATCCTTTGTGGAGGATGTACCTGAAGAAGTGGAATCGGATATTGATTTCGCGTTTTATGGGCTTCATGGGTATTCAAAATGTTGATCCTTTGTGGAGGAGGTACCAGAAGAAGTGGACCGATATATTCCATCTTCACACCAGACCTTGGGTTAATAGAAATGTTGTAATGTATATAATTTGAAGACAATCGGACTCTAATATCACAATTTATAAGAGTTATAATTATTCAAAATATTGACCCTTCGTGGGAGAGGTGCTAAAAGGAGTTGATCGATATTGTCCATTTTCGCTACTAGAGAAATTTTCCCAGTAAGAATTTTTAAACTATCAGCAACTCAAATATCAAAATATCTCTCTTATTTCGCTCTCATTTACAGGACTTTTGGGTAAACGAAGAGCTTCCAGTTAGAATTTGTACGAATTATCGAGTAAACGAACACCCCTAATATTTATCGTCAGACTCTCATTGAGATGCCCTTCAGATGAATTGGTGGACGTCAGTTTCCTGTGTGTCTAACAAGGGTTACATAAGATCGGATAAGGAGACTACTTTTGACAAAAATTGGACAATAAACTGAGGAATTTTTGCACTATTTTGATTTGAATCTCCTTAAATTACCAATCCAATTATGGCTTTTCACAGTAAACTTAATTATCAAATGGGCTTACTGCTCTAAAAAATCTAAATCTTTTTTAATATTAAATTATAATCAAATCTAAACAAATGAATAAAAGAATCCCCTCATTTATTCACATAGGAAATTCACAACTAAATTATTTTAAGGGTTATCAGCATAACCTCATAGAGGGGAATTAGAACATTTGACGACGTACCAAAAAAAAAAACATCAGACAAATCACGTGGGATTAAAACCCTTATGAACTTTACTTTTAAATTCCTAACAAATCTGATTAATGAAATTATTTATTTATTTAAAAAAAAAATAGAATCAAAATATTCTATTTTTATACAACAAAATTACGTTGTCGGCTAAGTTCATGTTAGTTAAAAGAACAACACGTGCTTATGGATTTTTTGGGTTTTTTTTTTTAAATAAAACAATATCGTCTCAAATAAAAATATTCTACAAAATTATTTGTCATCATTTTAGAAGAATGACGTAAAAGACAAAAATATTCTTCATCGAATTTTACTATAAGTCACCAAACAAAAGAAATCTCTATTTTCATTGCATGTCAAAAAATATTTGCATCAATGTTTCCACAAAAATCGAAAAAATGCCTTATTTTTTATCAATTTTTCCTTGGACATTTTTTTTTGACTCCTGAAAGAAACATAAAATTTAATTTTAGGCAGGAGGTGTCAAAGTAAGAAATATTCTACATAAAATTCCACTATAAATCTCAGAATAAACCATATATCTAGGTACAATAATTTTTAAGAAAACTACATTGAAAATGTATGCATTAAAAAGTGAAATTTATGTTATACAATTGTTTACAAGCATACAAAACATTTTGATTAGAATTTTTCCAGAAAAAAAGTTATTCGTGATAAAGTTCAAGCGTGATAGTGTGTTTCTTTATATTTGCTTAGAAAACCACAAGTGGCTATCGTTAGAGCACTCCAGCATTTAAATGTGAATAAATCTTTTGTGTCTCGTACCATTGCTCGTTACTGTGATACTGGTAACGTACCCCGACGTCAAGGAAGTGGACGGAAGAAAACAGTAATATCAGCAGAAATGGTTCGAAACGTAATGAAGCGACTTGATCGGCATCAGCTTCGCAGTGTCCGAAAAATGGCTCGTGAGCCATTCGGCAAATATTGAAAAATCGGGGGAGCTCGGGCTAAAGCCACTGAAATTCCAAAAAGTGCAAGAACTTACACCGCAACAGAAAACAATTAGACTCAAAAGAGCTAAAGAGTTGCTTCGCTTTTCCGGAAGTGGTGATCTGCCGAATTTGTTTTTTTTTTCGACGAGAAAAGATTCGTTGTTCAGCAGTTTGTAAACAAACAAAATGATCGTGTTCAACTGCCAAAGAGGTCAGCTGAAAATGTACACCTTCGGTTGGCCACCAGAACTCAAGCGCCGGCCATGGTAATGGTGTGGACCGCCATAACAGCCGAATCAGAATAAATGCCGAATATTATCGCGAAAATATTCTGGAGGTTAACACACCCTCCAGTCTTGGGCACGCAAACATTTTGGCCGCAGACCTTGGACATTCCAACAGGACTCAGCACCATCGCACTCAGCACGCGCCACCCAAGAATGGTTGCAAAATGGGGATACTCGCTTCATTTCCAGCGCACAATGGCCAGCAAAATCTCCGGATACCATTCTGTTGGACTATTATGTCCGAAGTATTTTGGAAAGCAAGGTTGGCACCAAAGTGTCGATCACCTCAAGCAAGCGCTTGGCCGGGAATGGGCCAAAATACATTCATATAACATAAGGGCAGCCTGTGACGGTTTCATTGGCCGTTTGAAGGCCATAATTCGTGCCAAACGTGACCAATTCGAACAAATCTAAACTTATTCTAAAATTTGATGCAATTTCCGACATTTTTTGTTTTCATTCAATAAAATTAAAAAAAAAAATAAAAATTATAGCATTTGACTTTGTTGCAGTTTTTTTTATCTCACCCTGTGTATATATTCTTGATCAGCGTAAAATTCCAATACGATTTAGCCCTGTCCCACCGTCCGTCCTTCTGTTGTAATCACACTAGAGTCAAAACGAATTAAGATGGGAAGCTAAAATTTATCACACATTAGTTTTTTGTCTACAGGCAGGTCAAGCTCGAAGAAGACCCATATCGGTCCACGATATCGTATAGCCCCCATATAACGGTATAGCCCCGATATTTAGTATATTATTAATTTTAGCCAAATTTTCAATGGAATTGTATGAAAATCGACAGAAGAAATTTCTTCTGACTACTTTAACCCCTGGAAGAGAACTGTCTATATGGGTCCATGATATCGTATAGCCCCCATATAACGGCATATCCCAATATTCGGTATTTTGCCGATGTTAGCCACATTTTTCAATGAAAATGTCTGAAATTCTACACAATGAGTTCCTTCTGACTACTTTACCCCCTGGAAGAATTGTCTATATAGGTATACTATATCATGCAGCCCCCATATAATTGTACTTCCCGATATTCGGTATTTTGATGATTTAACGACATTATTCACCCGAATTGATTCAAATTTCGTATTTAGGAGTTCCTTTTGACTACTTTACCCCCTGGAAAAGAATTATCTACATAGGCACACGATATCGTATAGCCCTTATATAACGGTACCCCCTAATGTTATTTTGATGATTTTATTTCATATTTAAATTCGTAATGGGTTCTACAGCCTATGACAAAAAATTATGCAGATCCACGTATAGCCCGATGATCTTAGAGATATTATTCAGCGGAATTGTTTCAAATTTCATATTTGAAGCTCGTAATGAGTACTACAACCTATGACGGAAAATTCTCTATGTAGACCAATTTTTTCATATTGCCCACCTCCATTTATTCCGCATTTGTTGATATTAGCGACATTTTTGACTGGAATTATTTCAAATTTCGTATTTAAAATTCGTAGTAAGTACTACAGCCTGTGACAGAAAATTGTCTATGCAGATCCAGGTTTTCGCATAGCCGCGTTATATCGGTACTTCCCTATATGTATATTTTAATGGTTTTAACTAAGTTATTCACCTTTTTTTAAGTTGCCTATGCAGGTCCACGTCGTCGCATAGACTCTAATATAACGGCTACATTTGATATTTTTAAGATTTTAAAAGAATTTTTAACTGATTTTATTTTTTTGAAAATTTCCAAATTCGTTCCAAATGGTGGAGGGTATTCAAAGTTCGGCCCGGCTTACTGATTTTTTACTTGCTATAAATTATATGTCTTTTGGCGAAAATTAGTACCCTGAAATTCATTAAAATTAGATTTGGTTTAGCTAGGTTAAAAAAAAAAAAACAAAAGTTGTCCCCTACAGGACACCAAGCCCATAGAACCACTTTTCCATTGAAATAATACTCCGCTTTAATGTTTTTTGTAACAACATCTTAAAACTAAAATAAATCCACTTACGAAAACTACATTAGTTGCGATACTATATAGATTCCAACTACTTAGCCAACGTTTGAGAAAAGTTCGCTTTCTTAGAGGTAAATTTAACGAACACTGTATTTCAGAAATATCTTGCCATGTTACCAATTGAGGACGACAAATCAAAAGGGCATTCATGGCGGCACGATAACCACTTTGCACGGCACCCCCCAGTAGGCCACGATAACAAGTCCCAGCCGAAGCCGATGATGACCAAATAACACGATTCCAGGGTGTAGTCCGAGGTGCATGATCCAGCGCCGGAAGTTCGAATGTATGCTGGGAATATACCAAAGGTAGCAGCATTTCCTCACCAAAGGCCTCTGCCAATTTATGTAATATCAATGATTTCACCAAAGGTTCAATACCTTCTTCGTGGAGATAATGGCCATAGATGGTATTGTTGTGATATTGATGGGCCATCAAAAAAGGTTCCAACCACAAATATTGTCCCGTGTAACCAGACTTCTGCCAATATGCTTCTCTATAGCTGGCCAAGAAACTGGTTAGAACATATTTTGTTTTATTCTCATTGCGTGGAGCCCGTTGCAGCTCCAGCGGCAGTGGGGGATGGAATTGTATTTCTTGTATTTGTTGCCAGGGAATTGCAAGAATAATGGCCTGGGCAGTATATTTTAAATTCTGGGAATCAAGGACTTCCACATGCTCGCGATATTGAAATATTTCCGATACTTTGTGTCCATAAATGATATGAACATATTCCATGTGCTCCAGCATTTTGGTTATTAGCTCCTGAGTGGAAAATTCCAATAAACCATTTGGTATTTCAATGAATCTGCAAGAGGATGGGGAAATCGCATTACATTACAGATATGAAAGCACACACATATACCTACAGGTTAATTAATCTGCCAATGCCACCACTTGTCCTACAAACATTGATAAAATCATTAACAACGATATCGCAGGCCTCACAACCACTTATCAAGAGAACCAAGTTCAACATAAACTTGCGGCACATTCGAAAAAATAAACATCTACATATGTGGGAGTGCATTGAGGTGCTTTGGAATCTAGAACATAGAAATCTATTTGAATATTCTCCCTCTCTTCTTAAAATTCTTACCTCTTCAATTCCCCTGCGCGATATTCCAACATCAATTCCAATTCATCGATATAACGTTTCAGTTCATATTTGGCTAATGCGGCAAATATTCCTCCATCGAGTTGCCAATATCTTTTTAGCGATTGAGACTGTTCAATATTTCTTCTCCGGATAGAAACATTCAAATCTTTCAGAAGAGTATAAATATGATATTGATCCTCCGTTATCCATTTGGCGCCCAACTCTCCCAAATGATTGAAACGTAACTGGCCACCAATAACATTAGTGGCTTCCATCAATGCTACGTGTAGACTGGGATCCCTTTGATGAATTCTCAAGGCAGAGGTCAGGCCAGATAGGCCACCACCAATAATGAGAATATCAAATTTATTCTCCGAATTTGTTTGACTCATTATTTGGAAGGAGAAAAAGTTTTGATTTTTTGTTTTGTTTTCAAAAATGTCAAGGACAAACAACAAAACAGTTAAAAAGCAGTAAGTTCGACCGGACCGAACTTTGAATACCCTCCACCATTTGGAACGAATTTGGAAATAAAATCCTTAAAAATTCTGTTAAAATTTTAAAAATACCGAATATAGCCGTTATATTGGTGTCTATACGACGTGGACCTACATGGACATTGTTTGTCATAAGTCATTACCACATTCAAATTCGAAACTTGAAATAAACGGTGAATAATATAGCTAAAATCATGCTGTAGTTCCGCAAAATATTACAAATTTTATGTGCCAGCGACATCTGTTAGCTATTAAAACACACTATAACTACACCACTTCTACAACATGTACATAGCATACTTTCAGGCTGAACATGGAATATAATTTTATATGAGAGTTAATGGAACGTAACGGTAACGGTAACGTAGTGTAGAAACAAGCAATTAGCAAGTAAAATTGAACTATTTAAAAATATTTTCCAACGGTCCTTGGAACAATAATCGCCAGTTATGGTAGATATTTTGAGAAAACATAGAATTTTCCACAACTGCACAATAGCCAGGTGCAGTTAAATTATAAGAAAATATGCAGGAAATTAGGAAAAAATGCTAATTGTTTCAGAAATAAACAAGGTTTTTTTCTTAACAAAAATTGATGCCTTGCGAGTATAAAAATTTCATTTGCTGAGAGAGCCACAATAAAAATGAAGCATGAAGGGAGATTGTGACGCGGATTGGAGAAGTGTTAAATTAATAGTAAATAAACCAAACACTTTTGGTACATACATTTTTAATGTAGTTTTCATAAAAACTGTTTTACCTAGATATATGGTTTATTCTGAAATTGTTAGTCAAATTTTGTGTAGAATATTTTTTATTTTGACACCATCCTCCTAAAATGATTTTTTTTTGTTAATTTCAATCATCAACTCGAAAAAAGTCCGAGGAAAATTTTATAAAAAAATACGGAATATTTTCGATTTTTTTAGTACACATATAAAAAATTTTTGCAATACAGTTTAATAGTCGTGGATTTGTTAAAAATAATAATGTTTTCAAGGACCAAGAGACCATTAAAAGTGATTTCTTTTCAAGGACCAAGGGACCAACAACCTTTGATTTTTTTATAAAAATATTTTTCCAGTACCAAAAGATCAATAATTTTTTGAAGGACAAAGAGACCAGAAATAGTTGTTTTCTTAAAATTATTTTTGCAGCGACCATTAATTGTGGATTTTTTTAAAATATTTTTTAAGGATCAATAATCGTGGATCTCTTAAAAAAATTTTTTTAAAGGACGAAGGGACCAATATCGTGTATTTTTTTAAAAAACATTTTTTCAAGGACCAAGGGACCAATAATCGGGCATTTTTTTTTATAAAATTTAAGGACCAAGAGACCAGTAATTGGGGATTTTTTTATAAAATTCAAGGACAAAGAGACCAATAATCGGGGATTTTTTTTATAAAATTCAAGAACCAAGAGACCAATTATTGTGGCTTTTAAAATCATTTTTTCAAGGACCAAGGGACCAATAATCCGGATTTTTTTTTATAAAATTCAAGACCAAGAGAGCAATTATCGTGGATTTAAAAATATATATATTTTTTCAAGGAACAAAAATCTTTTAAAATATTAAAAAATATTTTTTTTTTCAAGGACCAAACAACAAATAATCGCTTAAGAATATTTTTAAGACCCAAGAGACCTATAATCGTGGATTTTTTAAAAATATTTTTTCAAGAAGCAATGGACCCAAAAATCGTGTATTTTTTAAAAATATTTTTTCAAGGACCAAAACACCGTGAAATTTTGGTTTTTTTTTTTTTTAAATTTTACAGGGGACTAATAATCGTGGATTTTTAAAAATATTTTTTCAATGACCGAGGGATAATCGTGGATTTTTAAAAATATTTTTTCAATGACCGAGGGATAATCGTGGATTTTTAAAAATATTTTTTCAATGACCGAGGGATAATCGTGGATTTTTAAAAATATTTTTTCAATGACCGAGGGATAATCGTGGATTTTTAAAAATATTTTTTCAATGACCGAGGGATAATCGTGGATTTTTTAAAAATATTTTTCAATGACCGAAGGATAATCGTGGATTTTTAAAAATGTTTTTCAAGGGATCAATAATTGCGAATTTTTAAGCATCAATAATCGTGGATTTTTAAAAATGTTTTTCAAGGGATCAATAATTGCGAATTTTTAAGCATCAATAATCGTGGATTTAAAAAAAATCATAAACCAAGGGACCAATAATTGTAGATTTTTTTACAAAATATTTTTCAACGGATCAATAATCGTGTATTTAAAAAAAATAAGGACCGATAATCGTGAATTCAAAAAAAAAAAACATTATCATAAACCAAGACACAAATAATCGAACATTTTTTCATAAACAAAAGGACAAATAATGATTTAAAAAAATATTTTTCAAGGACCAAAGGATTGATAACCGTGTTTTTTTAATTTCAAGGACAAAGATACCAATTATTGTGGATTTTAAAAATATATTTTTTTTTTTTTGAAAAACCAAAGATATTAAAAAATATTTAAAAATATTTTTTTAAAGACCAAAAATATTTCAAAAAAAAAATATTTATATTTTATTCTTGAATTTCTATATTTTTTTTCAGGGACTAAGGGACAGATAATCGAGGATTTTTTAAAATATTTTTTCAAGGACTAAGGGACCAATATTCGTGGATTTTTAAGAAAAATGTCCAACCAGTAATCTACCCAATTGGGAGTCAATCCTAAATGTTAGGAAAAAATGCCATACATATAATCCCATTTTTAAGCATTGCCTTATTTATTTATTCCATTAGAAAAGAGTCTTATTACTTTAGAACATAACACTGAAAATGTTGATGAAAAATAATGCCAAACTTTACAAATTTTCCCATTTATTACATGATTTTTTTTTCAATATTTTACATAATACTTTGAGATAGTGATTTATATTCTATGTTATTATTGTGTTGATAGAAAATGAATCTAAATGTGGGTTATCAATGTACTTTGAGTATATATGTATGTATGTAGGTTTGTATATATGTACATACATATATGTGTAAATTGAATACAATGAGTCTAGTTGAAATTAATTAATCGAGAACATAAATAATTTAAACAAATACAATTTTAAATAAATTCGTGGTTTGTTTTTGATATGGTTAACCTCGTTTGAAATTGACATTGTCTTTCTAAAATTTTCTGCTAAAAAATTTCAGTATAAAAATGTATATTTAATACTAGGAGAATATTATAGTGGTCTGATATATATTTTTGGGTGTCCTGAACAATTAACGGTAGATTTTTTCGTAATTTCCATAGAAATAAAATAGATAAAAATAATATATAATTTTTAAAATTTTCAAATTTTTTTTTTTTTTAAATTATTAAAAATTTTAATTTTTAAAAACTGTTAAAAATTTTAATTTTTAAAATTTTTTAAAAAATTAAAATTCAATTCACATTCACACAATTCACATTTTTAAAAATTTTAATTTTTAATTTTTAAAAATTGTTAAAAATTTTATTTTTTTTTTAAATTTTTTTAATTTTTTAAAATTTTTAAAAATTCAAATTTTTTAAACAATTAAAATTCAACTTGATTTGAAGTTTTAAAAATGTTTTAAATGATTTAAAAAATACATATTTTTTTAAATCACCCGAAACCGAAACACATTTTTCAAATTAATTTTGATTTTTTTGTTTCTTCGCTTTTACTTCAGAACACCCTAATATGCATATGACATATTTTCAAAATTGTTCTTATAAGTACATTTTACAACACAATTAAGTTCAATTTTTCGTTTTCACTTTTAGCCGCCACCATCGCTTCACTTCATCATTTGGCTTTGCCATTTGCCTGCTGTCCGCCGGCTACCATTGATGTAAGTTCCTCTCCAGTCTCACTGAGATCATTTGCATTGCGACGCTTTCCAAACCGTTCGCCATCTTCTATTGTCTCTGGCATTGGCTTGTTCAGGGTTTCGGGAAGCATTAACGATAGGAGGCCACCTAAAAAGGCCAAGGCACCACAAATTATCAAAGGCAATGGCCGCCATATTTGGCCCAGCAAATTGAGATAGGGCGCCAAAATGCCACCAATACGTGCCACCATTGAGGCGGCGCCCAAACCCACATTTCTCACCACAGTGGGGAATTGTTCAGCCGAGAATATATAAATGGTACCATACGAAGCTGTAATGGCCAATTTACCAATCATGGCAAATAGAATGATGAGCCAATTTAAAGAGGCCGGCACAATGATTGTCAGCAACAGGGCCACCCCAGCCACTAACATGCAACCACACAGAATTGTGCGACGACCCCAACGATTTAGGGTAAGCAGCAGCAGTATGTAGGCAGGGATTTCCACAGCACCGGAGATCATGAAATTCAGCAGGACATTGCCACCCAAATTATTGGTATTCCAGGAGAGACCATAGTACACACCGCTGTTGACAAACCAATCAAAGAAAATGATCAACGTCTTACGCCTCAAATTGGGATAGCGCAACAAATCAAAAACACTAGCCGCTGCTGCCTTTTCCGATTTATTGGCCTCTGAGTCATTTTTCTTTTCCGCCGATTCGTCAATGAGATTTTCATAGACCTCTTGGGGTATGGTGACATTATTCACCTGGGCTGCCTTTTCAATGACCACAATGGCCTCATCTTTGCGTCCCTTGGATAATAGCCATCTGGCCGATTCGGGTATGATCCAGTGGTAACACATAAACAACAACCCCGGCAGGGTTAGGGCGATTTGTAACCATCTCCAGTCGCGGATGAAATAGGCAAAACCGGCCGTCAACATAAAGCCCACCGAGAAGAACATTTGACAAGCCACACCGGCAAAGAGACGATAGGATGAACCCACCATTTCCATGGCAATGACATAGGCAACCAAGAACACACCCGAGGTGGTGGCTCCCACAATCATACGCGATATGGTATAGGTAAAATATTCGGGGGCCACACCAGCCAGGACACCAAACACCACCTGGATCACCAACGAGGCAAAGAATATGGGTTTACGGCCATATCTATCCGATAGCTGGCCAAACACAATACTACCCAACAACACGCCCACCATGAACAAGGAATCACTGGTGGCACTCAGCAACTGGCGACTGCATACCATATTCCATTCCGTCACTGCACTGCTCTTGTACACACTCTGGTCATAGACAAAATGTTCACAGCTCTTTGTTTCATTCGACACAGGAGTCGCAATGCTGTTCCCATTCAAATACCCGTCATTGTAGTCCACATCGTAGTATTCACACACCTGATAGGTATCCGTAATCTGGTCATACGGATAAGCCAGACTCCAGAGGGTTTTATTGAAATTCTCAAAACGTGTCTGATTTTCGCTGTCATTTTCAAATGGCAGGACACAACGAAAATCTGGACGGGCCAGGAGAAATACACCGGCCAACTTGTGAAAGGCACACGATATGGCGGGCAAACACAAAAGGAAATAGATTTGTTTTTGATATCGGCCAAAATCGCCCAGATACTTTATGACATCATCGTAACCCATGGTGACCCAGTGATGATGACGTTGCGTTACACTGTGAGTATGTGCGTGTGTGTGTGCGTGGGACAGGTGTTTTTCAAATATTGTTTTCAATTAGGATTTTTAGAAACGGCCAAACTTCATTTAGTTGATTGCATTCAATCCCAATTGATGATGGCGATTATGATGTTGACTGTTGCACTCCAGCAGCTGTTGTATTTTTTGTTGTTGTTGCCTTCTGCTTCTTTTCCGTTAGACAACCGGTTAGGCAATCCAATTGTTGAATGTTGTTCGAATTTGAAGTCCAAACTTGTTGCCAGCAAATCCAACAAATCATACAAAACTCTTGAAGGCGTCCCCGACAACTGAACTGAACACAAACGCGATTAAAGGAAAACTCATGCGCAGATTTTTCGTTTTTTTTTTTTTTCAATGAGTTTGCGAACGTGTGTGCATGTGTTTGTGAGTGGACTGATGAGTTTTCCTTGCTGCTCACTCAGGCCAAATGGTTGGTGTGATTTGTGAGAATGTTGTTGATTTGTTCTCGCGGCCAAGCTACACTAACCTGCAAAGAAAAGAAATTTGGTTAGTTTTAAATAATTTTCGATCTGGCCATTTGATATGGAAATTTTTAATTCAAGGATTTGGGAAATTAGGTGCCTGTAAATAGCGTGAAGACAGTGAATTTGGGAATCTCTTCCGAAGGTTTTAAATCTATAGAAGTTGTGGAAAAAGTATGACATTTAAAAAGACTCAACAGATTTTTTTAAATCTTACATTTTTTCAGGACTTCCCTTGAGCTAATAGGGATTATAATTTTTACTGATAATGCGGTTCGCTACCATACAGTTCTTGAATGCCTTATACCTAAATTCTCGTGTCAACAAAGTTTTTTTGATTTTATAAAGTTTCCTGTATATCGAAGATGTGGAGTAGCCCTTCCATGTATGGAACACCTATTAAAGGGACTTCGTTTTGAAGAGGGTTTTGTATTCGAAGACATTTTTAAATTAAATACATCTGGATAGTTTTCTGGTACAGACGAATAATTTTGTGTGATTCAGTAACGGCCTCGTTCAATTGAATTATTCACTAAGAAAAGTGGCTGAACTAGTTACTTGGTAAACTCCAATAAAAAACGTTCCAAGTGATAGATTAAACGGAAATTTAAACTACCTGAGTTTTAGCCGGCCAATAAAAACGGTGGGGTTTGCTACAACAACAACAATAACACTGTGCGTTATTTTTTTTAAGCCAAAGATTACACAGTGCAACAAAATTAGTTTTTTTTTTCATAATTGCAGGAAAACTCAGCAGATTTCCTGTCTACAAAATATTATATTTTTATAAAGATTTCTGTGTTAAAGATGCGTAGTAGTCCATCCATGTATGGAATACCCTTTAAAGGGGATTCCTATTGGAAGTAGGGAAGAAGACATTAGTCTTCTAATATAGACGGTCAATTTTTCCGTGATTTAGTAACGGCTTGGTTCAATCGAATTATTAATAAAGAATAGTGGCTGAACTAGTTGCTGGCCAAACCCCAATTAAAACCGTTCCAATTAATAGAGAAAACGGAAATTGAAATTAACCGAGATTAATCCAGTTTATAAAATAGTTGGGTTTGCTACAACAACAATAATAAAACGGTGATTAATTTCTTAGGTTAAAAATTACACTGTGCTACAAAATTCATATTTATACCCTCCACCGTTGTATGGTTTGTCATTCCGTTTGTAACACTTCAAAATATACATTTAGACCCCCCACAAAGTATATATATTCTTGATTAGCATAAAATTCTATGTCGATTTAGCGAGGTCTATCCGTCTATCCATCTGAGGAAATCACTCTAGCTTCCGAGCGAAATGAAGTAGGTTGATAAAATTTTACTTAAATCTATATTATGTCTGCTGGACTTCTGGTATTGAAAATGGGTCATGTAGGTCCACGTCTTCGTATAGCCCTCATATAATGGTACCTCCAGATATTCTGTATTTTTATTATATAACGGTACCTCCTGATAGTCGGTATTTGATGATTTTTGCGACATTATTCACCGGAAATGTCTCAAATTTGGTATTTGAGGTTCGTAATGGATACTACAGCCTATGACAGAAAATTGTCTGTGCAGGTCCACGTCTTCGTAGAGCCCCCATATAATGGTACCTCCCTATATTCGGCATTTTGATGTTTTTAGCGACATTATTCACCGGAAATGTCTTAAATTTGGTATTTGAAGTTCGTAATGGAAGTTCGTAAAGCCTAAGACAGAAAATTGTCCGTGCAGGTCCACGTTTTGGTATTGCCCCCATATAATGGTACCTCCCGATATTCGGTATTTTGGTGATTTAAGCTACATTATTCACTGAAAATGTTTAACATTTTGGTATTTGAAGTTCGTAATGGATAATACAGCCTATGACGTAAAATTCTCCGTGCAGGTCAACACCTTCATATAGCCCTCATATAATGGTACCTCCCTATATTCGGTGTTTTTATTATTTTAGCTATATTATTCACCGACTTTTTTCAAGTTTCGCATTTGAATATTGTAATGGCTTATGACTGAAGTTGCCTATGCAGGTCCACGTCGTCGTAAACACCCAAATATAACGGCAACATTCGGTTTTTTTAAGATTTTAACAGAATTTTTAACGGATTTTTTTTTTTTGAAAATTGCCAAATTCGTTCCAAATGATGGAGGGTATTCGGCCGAACTGAAGGTGGGAATACATAAAGCGCTTATCTGGCTGGCTTAAGTCGTCGGCTGGCTTCTTCGGAAATGAACAAAGGAGCCTAAGGCCAAAATCGATCTAAGTCAACCTAAAACTTCTTTGTTCTTCTACGAAGAAGCCAGCCGATGTCTTAAGCCAACCAAATATGCGCTTTATGTATTCCTACCCTAAGGTTGGGAATATTAGCATATTTGGCTGGCTTAAATCATCGGCTGGCTTCTTCGTAGATGAAAAAAGGAGGTTTAGGTTGACTTAGTTCAATTTTGGCCCTAGGCTCCTTTGTTCATTTCCGAAGAACCCAGCCGATGACTTAAGCCAGCCAAATATGCGCTTTATGTATTCCTACCCTAACAGATTTTTTACTTGTTGAATTTAACATTTTATTTCCGAATTCCAGTTGGCATTTTCTAAATTACTGTAAAAAGTTGTGTTGATGAATGAAGCTGTTGAATAAGATTCCGACCGTTTCTTTGATACATGAGCAATGTTTTAGTATGGCGCCCAATACACTTTGGTCTAGTTTTATGCGTATTTTTTTTATCCGGATTCGATTTTTCGATTTATTCGATTTATTTATGCGATTGTAATTGCGAGGATTAAATCAACGATTTTAGAACTAAGAAAAAAGTGAATAATGAAGACAGTAATTCTGAAGAAATTGTTGAATTGTTATATACTCCGCGAAAATATGTTATATACTCCGTACAATTAATGTCTTACAAAAACAAATTCTTACTATCGATCCAGACAGGGGCTGACAAAAATTATACAAGAAACTTCAAAATGCAATTGTCTAATGACAACTTAATTTTCAAGAAGTAACACACTATATGTTCTTCGACCCCTAGTCGCGAGATAAATGCTAGAGGTGGATTTAATTGTTACATTATTATATTTATTTAATATTCTATGCGTTTTTCCAGAATTTTTACACAAATAACTTTTTTTCATATAACGTTTTATGTCTTTTTGATTTAAAATATTTAAGGTCTTCAGACACACTTTTCAATTGAATGGACTGGAATTTGATATTAAGTATTCTTAGTCTTTACAAAATCTCCCTAAATCCACTTCAAAATTCAGTTGAGTTATCATATCTACATGGTACGCCAAGATTGCCACTGTTTTCACTTGTTAATTCTGCTGAATTTTGACTGAAATACCTTCTTGATTTTTTACTCATGATTTTAGTCGACTGATAATCTCTAGCTATCTTTCAAACACTTATCTTTATTATGACTGCTGGGCAAATAAACTGCCGTTTTGATAATGCATTTATTTTGTATTTTTACCACACATTTAGGCAAAAAAGAAAATTACATCAAATCCTTTAGGCTTTGAGAATTTTTGCACAAATGCCAAAAAATTAATTTAAAATTCTAAACAAAGAACAATCTCACGATTGTTTCTTCTTCTAAAATCCGCAGGAGATTAACACAATTAAGCGAATTCACCATCCATCCATGAAGATAAGACCGGTGAAAATAAGAAGATAAGTTCTTTTGTTTTGGAACAAAGACGAATAACATTTGGTGTGGACATTTTTAATGAACAAAGAAAAAATCCGCATCATTCAATGGTAATATAATGGTCCAAGGTCAAGTTTAAAATTTCGCAGCCGCCAATCTGTAAGGTAAGTGCAAGTAAATATTGGCAGGGAAAAACCTGCGGTTTTAAATACCACAGGAATTTAAACGAATTCATGTGGGATTTTTATAATTGTTAAAAAGTAGCAAATTCAAACAAATAATAACATTTTCATGCGTATTAATCCAAATTAATTAAAAATTCTAAAGCATATCGGATACTTGTACGATTCCTTGCAAGGGTTACATAAGGTCGGCCAAGAAGACTACTTTTGTCAACAATTTCACAATAAAATCAATAGTTTTCGCAAAAACAAAGAGCAAAGGAGCGTGTGTCCAAAATAGAACTAAGTCAACCTAAAATTACTTTGTTTCTCTGCGAAAAAGGATTTTATGTACTCTCACCTTAAGAAAGACATACAGGGTGGGATAAAAAAACTGCAACAAACTCAAACGTCATAATTTGTACATTTGTTTTAATTTTATTGAATGAAAGAAAAAAATGTCAGAATTATCATCAAATTTTAGAATAAGTTTAGATTAGTTCGAATCGGTCACCTTTGCCACGAATTATGATCCGCAAACGGCCACTGAAACCGTCACACGCTGCCCGAATGTTGCTCTGCGGAATTTTGGCCCATTCCCGGCAAAGCGCTTGCTTGAGGTGATCGACACTTTGGTATTTTTAGTGCCAACTTAGCTTTCCAAAATACTCCAGACACAACAGTCCAACGGATTGGTATCCGGAGATTTTGGTGGCCATTGTGCGCTGGAAATGAAACAAGGAACCCCATTTTGTAACCATTCTTGGGTGGCGCGTTCTGAGTGCGATGGTGCTGAGTCCTGTTGGAATGTCAAAGGTCTGCGGCTAAAATTTTTGCGTACCCAAGGCTTTAATACACCTTCCAGAACATTTTCGACATAATATTTGGCATTTATTTTGATGCCACGGTCGATTAATACGAGCGGAGAGCGACCATCCGCTGTTATGGCGGTCCACATCATCACCATGGCCGGCGCTTGAGTTCTGGTGGCCAACCGAGGGTGCACATTTTCAGCTGACCTCTTTGGCAAGTAAACACGATCATTTTGTTTGTTAACAAACTGCTGGACCACGAATGTTTTCTCATCGGAGATCGGAGAAAACCAAATTCGGCAGTTCACCACTTTCGGCCAGGCGAAGCAACTCTTTAGATCTTTTGAGTCTATTTTCTTTCTATTGCGGTGTAAGTTCTTGCACTTTTTGAAATTTCAATGGCTTTACCCCGAGATCATTTTTCAATATTTGCCGAATGAAATCTTGCGATATGTTCATGTCCTGATTCATACTAGGCGAGTTTATTGGCGGCATATTGTTATTGTTCTCTTTTGAACTTGCTTCTTGCATTTATACGATGCAATTTTTTAGCAATTCTTCAGCAATTTTTGTATAGAAATAAAAACTCAAAGGCCATTACCAGAAAAATTGCAATGATTAGCAATTTTTTATACCCTGCTTGTATAGTGGTAAGGGTATTATGTCTGTGTGCATTTGTTTATAGAAAGAAAACGAGATAGACTCTTAGTTACTTTTGAGAATCGCTGTCTAAATCGATTTATACATGTCAGTCCCTACGTCTATCTATATATTCTTGTGAACATAATGCAGGTCGCATTTATACGATAAGATTTAGATATAGCTCCCATATGTCTTCAACCAATTTCGGATTAATTAA